GCGAACAACAAAAATATGCATGGAAGTATGGTCATCAAAGCCTTATCCTTGTTGATGGAACCTTTGGAATCAGCAAACATAAATTACTTCTATTTATCATTTTAATTCTTGATGAGAATAATAGAGGCATCCCTGTTGCTTTCATTCTTTTTACACCACCTAAGCATAATCGGTTAACATCCTCCGGGTATGATAGCAAGATCCTTGAACGGCTTTTCACAATTTTTCGCGATAAGATTAGCAGTAATTATAATCAAAGTCAATGTCTATCTACTCCAGTTATATTTAGCCCCCTTGCTGTAATGACTGATGCTGATGTTAAAGAGCGAAAATCATTGTCAAAAGTGTGGCCAGAAATTATTTTGCTTCTTTGTTTTTTTCACATTAGTCAATGTTGCAAAAATGAAATTAACAAACAATTAGGCCGTGGTGGTGAGAGTAAAGTAATTCTACTACGACAATCTCTAAAAACATTTTTAAAAAGTGTTTTAAAGGAGGCTCAGTCGATGAATGGTAGTGAAGAGATGGTGCGTGAATATATTATCAAAAAAAAAGATTCATTAGAAAGTATCTATAAAATGGAAAACATTCCAGAAAATAAAAAAATCTTAGAAGGCGGGTTAAAATTTCTTACTTACTTAAGAAAACAGTAGGCTGGGGATCTCTTATATAGTTGGTGTCTTAATGGACGGATGAGAGCTGCGGAAGCTCTTGGAATTCCTCTAGAAAAACTACCTACCACAAATAACCATCTTGAAGGAATGAATGAATACTTGAAAAACAATCAATTAAATCGATTTCAAAGAAACAATCACCTTCTCAGAGCCGATATCCTCTATATTGCTCTTGTGTGCGAAGTTATACCTAATATCTTAACGCTAAGAAATCTTGCTATGGATCTTGAGCGTGAGAAAGCAGAACGACGAAAAGAGTTTAATATAATAAACCCATCAGACCGTAAAATATTAATGCAAGAATTCACACAAATTGCCTATCTATCCCCAAGCATAAAGCGTGATGAATCAGCAAAAAGACT